GTCAAGGACTCGGAAGTTCCGAGGGTGACGGGGTCAAATTGGGTTCAGGGCGACTTGGGATGAGGTTGGAGCCGACGAGTTCGGCAGGGGCTGGTTTGGCGCGTGACTTGAGGGCCGAGCCTGCGGACGCGAACTGTTCGCGTGTACTCGCTGTGGCGAGCCCCAGTAAGGAATCGTAATTCCTTACAATTGCGACGAGGTGTAACAACGAAAAACTATAATCTTATATGGAACTAGTTAGTTACAATCAACCACTCTAGCATTATCCAATGCAAGCTTGCCGATAGCGTTTTCACCTCTACTTGCCACCGCTACTACATGGTACAGTTTTTTTTGTGCGATAAAAAATGTCATACACATAAGGGGGCCTGCTCTTGCCCGTTCGAGCGCTGGTGTTTTTTTTAGACTAGGGAAAAGGCTGGGGAGATGTGCTAAGCTAGCTGTTGGAAATGATAAAAGGACTTCAGGCATTTCCGGAGTCTTGTGTGAGTGTTCGAAATACGCAAAGACTACAACAACGAGGATTACCGAGTCAGCACTGCTACAGTACCCCTGTCGATTCACACAAATTGACGACACCCCGAAGAGGTTACGAAAGGGCAACGGTTGCAAATCGTTGACCGTGCAACTTAATAGTCAGAATCGCAAGAGTCAAGAGTCAGCGCGACAGCAAGGACAAATATCCGTCCCGATATTACAATACGGGTGGTTACCCGAGTTGCCTTATCAAGTCGTAAAAGGGGAATGTGTCAACATATATATATACATATATATATGTATATGTGTAAAGGCTAGGTAGGTGTACTGAATATCATGGATCCTACTGTAAAGGGTACAACCCCCTTCTTGTATCCCTTTCTCTTCTAATCCAATACTCTTCTCTCTCGATATTCTCTTTCTAGTCTAAAACCTCATGCTACTTTCCTATGCCTAGCTCCTAGTTCCTAGCCCTATCTTAAGATGGTATCAGATCAGGTCCGTCTGCTCGGGCCTGCTCATCACGCTTCCACAACATTCGCTCCTCTCTCCTGTCCTTTCCGTGCCGCCGCCACGGCCATGTCGTGCTGCCGTGACGGCGCCGTTGTGCTGCCGTTGCGTCGTCGACGCACCAGCGCCCGGTCTTAGCGCTGGCCAGCACGCCCGCATGCAGCCAGCGCGCCACACGGGGCGGCACACTCCCTGGCTCCGTTGCTGAAGCCCCCCCCCCCCTTCCCCTGCGCCCCCTCTTCCTCGCTGCAGCTGACGGATGACTCGCGCGGGCCTTCCCACCGTCGCGGAGTCAGGCCACGCCGCCGAGTGCTGCGAGCTCCACCGCCGCCGCCGTTGTCGTCAAAGCTGCTGCCGCCGCAGCTGGTGCCGCTGGCCTCGCCGCCGCATGTCGCCTACGCCGCCGCTGTCATCGCCGCCATTGCAGCCGCTGCCCTCGCTGCAGACGTCGCAGCCTCGCACGCCGAGGGGTTGACCATGCTGGAGAAGCCGTCGCTGCTGCTGAGTATGGGGGTGCTAGGCTTAGGGGATGTGTGGCTTAGTGGGTTGATTGCGTGGTGTGTTTTCTTTTGACCTGCATTACTACTAAAACTAGTGGACATGCTAGTAGTACTGCCCTGGTCTATTCTCTGTGTATCGCCTACCAAGCCTAGGGGGTGTGTCAACATATATATATTATATATATATTATACATATATATATGTATGTATAGGCTAGGTAGGTGTACTATATATCTTGGATCCTACTGTATAGGGTACAACCCCCTTCTTGTATCCCTCTCTCTTCTAATCCAATACTCTTCTCTCTCGATATTCTCCTTCTAGCCTAAAACCTCATGCTACTTTCCTATGCCTAGCTCCTAGTTCCTAACCCTATCTCAAGAGAATGTACCCCTCGAAGTGCACAAATAGTTAGACTCTTCATATCCTATTGTACTACTATATAAAGCCTTGTATCCATTTGCTATAATCAATAACTTGTTCTCATATACCAGTACAAGGGTTCAACTCAAGACTTCCGCTATGCTATGAAGCACTCTGTTACAAAGACTTAGCATTTTGAAAAGATCCTAGGGCTATGGTCAGCCCAACATGGTATGAAAGCCTGTCAGAAGCTACGCTCCTGTTACAAACTCCCTCAGGGAGTTTCTAACTCGTTTGAAGAATCAAGTACAACAACTCCAGTGATCAACTCGACATTACAAGACATGGCACCATCTAAGGGCAACGGATCCTCAACTGGATCCCCTTCTGCAACCCCATTTTCTGGTCTCCAGAATGAGGCACTTGCAGTTGCAGGAGCTTCCACGCAAACAGGAGCTTACTTGCAGGACCCGAATCAGAAATTCTTCTCCTTCATATCGACCTACGAGCAACCCTCGGCACCTACTCAATATGCACACAGTAAGAACAACAATGGGACAGCCCCCATGAGTCTCGACGGCGTGTGATATGCAAGAGGCATACCACCTACACAGCATCAACCGTACCAGCCTTTACCAGGCTCATTCACCTTCCTGCCGACTCTCGCGCCAGCAGTGGACTCAACGACGGCTGACATGCAGTCAGATATCGTCACCATGCAACAATAGTTCAACAATATCCTGAAACTAGAGACGTCCTCACCTTTCAACGGGAAGGACTTCTTTGCCTGGAGCTTCGAGTTCGAGTTGCTGATGGATGGCGCGCAAATCCTCGGTTTCTTCACCGGCTCCTGGCCATTTCCTGCAAATGAGACTACTCCGAAGAAGAAAGTCTACACTTATCAGTCGCTGATGGCCTTCACCATCCTCTTGCGGAACCTGACAGCAACAGAGCAACAGAGCATCCGGACGTATCGCAACTTCGGCAACTTGGCACAACTAGCATACTGTCATCTGAATAGCGTATACCAAGTGACTGACAGTGTGACACAAAGCCGACTAATGGGAGAACTCATAACAATCCAGATGCAACCAGGAAAAAATGCAATGCCTTACATCAATCGCTGCAAAGGCCTACGCGACAAACTCTTACGAAGCAGAGGACACTTACCGGAAGAATCCTTTGTCACGGTCGTCCTTGCTGGCCTCGGTCCACAGTGGCGCACGATGCGCTCCATTCTACGCGCTCACGGGCGAATCTCCGAGATGCACCTATGCGCAGAACTCCACACCGAGCAGCAAGACATGGACCTGTACGAAGAGAGACATGCCAAGAAACCAAGTCAACAACTTGCGTTCTACGTGCAAGGGCGTAATAACAACGTCAACCACAATCATAAAAAACGACACTCACCTCCGTATTGTCATCGATGCTGCACGACGGGACACTCGCGCTTCAACTGTCTGAGGTAGCAGCAGCAGCAGGAGCAGCAACATGCGCAATTCTCGCAGTACCAACCTCGAGCGCCACGTTAGTCACCGAATCCTGTCGCTTCAACTCAACAACGCCCAACAGCTCCGACGAATCGCTCAGCACAAGATGCAAGGAACGTTGTCAGTTGTATGGCTCCAACGGATTTTTGTGTACCCGAATCTCCGTTGCACAGTTCCGTCAACGAACAACAACCCGCTCCAACACAAACACGGCTCCAACTGAATCCGACTTACGCTGCAATCGCTCGCGACAAACCATCCGGCCGCGACACATGGTTCCTTGACAGCTGTTGCAGACAGCACATGTGTTCTTCAACACGCTTTGTTCAGCGAGAGAAGACATTGAACCGCGAAGTGGTGATCACCATCGCCAACAACTGAAACCTGCGCACAAGGAAGGAAGGAGTTGTTCAGCTACAGTCCAGCGAGACGAATGTGATACTACAAATGTCACGAGTACTCGTTGTCGACAACCTTGGCTACAACCTCCTAAGCGTCAGCCAGCTGATGTCGACAGGAATTCACCTGGAGTGTGACAGCTTCGACAGAGAGTTCCGACTCTACCACGGGAAGGGCGGACTCTACATCAGTAGAGCCATCCAGAAGCATGGCGTATTCGTCTTGGACTTCGTTCCAGACCGCGGGACCGCCGAGAGTGACGGCGTCGTCTCATTCGCACCCTGGACGCACCCACCGGATCTCGATCTCGGATTCGATCGCGATGGCTTCTGGTACTCCAACACCATACCTGAAGCAGAAAGTACCTGAGCATTAGCAGTGATGCAAGAAGCAGAGGAACAAGAAGCAGAGGAACGAGAAGCAGAACAGCACGAAGCAGAACTGCAAGCGCCGACAAGACAACTTCCTGGAAGCCCCGTCGCTGGACCTTCATCGGCACCACCCGTCGAAGAAGTTCCGCCTGCATCGGAACTTGTCGACAAGCCACCACCGACCGGCCCCACAGTTGAAGGCACATCCCCCCGAGCAGCATCGGAGCGCCGCGACCGTCTCTGCCTTCTACGCCAACTCGGATTTGTATCGCTGGCCAGTGGGGCACAAAGCAAGGACAAATAACCGTCCCGATATTACAGTACGGGTGGTTACCCGAGTCGCCTTATCGAGCCGTAAAAGAGGAATGTACCCCTTGAAGTGCTTAAACAGTTAGACTCTTCATATTCTCCTGTATTACTATATGAAGCCTTGTATCCCTTTGCTATAATCAATAACTTGTTCTCATATACCAGTACAAGGGTTCAACTCAAGACTTCCGCTGTGCTACCAAGCACTCTGTTACAAGGACTTAGCATTCTGAAAAGATCCTAGGGCTATTGTCATCCCAACACTAGCGTAGGTGCTGGGTTCTCCTACGTCTGAGAAGCAATTGTTAAAGTCTGAACTAGGAATAAAAGAGGAGGCCGCCATGAAATGGCGGCCAAGGGTTTAGCTAGGAAGTTGACGAGAGTGTCGAGAGAGAAGAGGGATGGATTAGGAAGAGAGGGGAATACAAGGAGGGGTTTGTACCCCCTACAGAAAGGTTCAGTAACAACCTACCAAGCCTATATTAAATTATAACTTATATAATTTGAACACACCCCCTAGGCTTGGTAGTGTCAAGCCCACTCACACCCCCACACCCACACCCACACCCCCTAGCCCAGCACCCCCATTCCCAGCAGGAACCGAAACGACTCCGGAAGTGGGCAGATCCCACGGCCCGCGGGATGGCTATGGCGGCAGCAGCGACAGTGACGACAGCGGCGGCGGCGGCGGCGTGCGGCGGCGCCCGGCCCGCGGCAACAGCGGCGGCAGCGGCGGCTTGAACGTCAGAGGCTGGTGCAGCGGCCCCGCTGTCTGACTACCTTCGTGCCGCTCGTCCCCTTGTTCCTCGGGTCCTTGCCTCTCTCGTTACCGACCCGTCTGTTCCGGCCTTGTGCCTTGACGCTGTCGCTGCCGTCGCTGACTTCGCCTCTACCCGCCGCCTTGACTACGCCACCGCTCGGGTCTCCGACCCTGCCTGTCCTCCGTCTGTCGGGGGTGCTCCTAGGGCTCACTTGAAACTCAGCCCTGGTGACGGGTGTTTGCATGGACTTAGTTTTGGTTGAGCCTTACGACCCTCCAGATTGTCGCGGCGTGTTCCCTTGATGAGTTACGACTGCTCTGTTCCATTAGCCAATGGTTGCGCACTGCAAAATCGCAGCATTTGCGTTTCCGCGTTGGGGTAGGTGTACCACTGCAGATCGGGCTCTTTTCTCTGACTCCCAAAAAACTCAATTTTCATGTGCGCCACCCCTTTGCTATTCTAGCCTGTGGTTTTAGCATGGGTCTGAGGGGGCGTTGCTGATCTGGTCAGCTAGACGACTTGGGCACCAAAATGAATTGTGGACTGTCTAGTCTAGACACGTTCAGAAACAACCTGGCATCAAGATGCGAGCTTACCGATGTACACTCCTGAATATGGTTTCGGGTAACTAAAACCCGAATCAAGAGTCAGCTGCACTAGGTAGCTTGAAGATGAGGCACGGTATCAAGCCGTGAAAGTGATCCTCAGGTTCTGACCACTGAAGAAATCAGCAGCAGAAGTGTTCCCTTCACGAAGCACGTGGCTGCTCCCACCCACCACCTCCCCACACTCTGGGCAACTCGACTCCTGCATTGCCCCACCACATTCCCCAATGGCGTACACATGTCCATTGCGGCACCGGTACCAATGGCCTCCCCCCAAGTCCATAGCCCTGTACACCTCCTCCTTTTCCCGCTCTGTCAGGACGAAGTAGCGAGGTTCGTCCCGAACGGATGTTTCTAGTGCAGGTAGCTCTTTATTGAGAATTCTCCTGGCACTCTCCCCAAGGGCACTGTTCTCCCTAACTGAGACCAGATGGTGATAGGCCACCATGTGGCACTGTATCTTGGCCTTTTCGAGGTACTCCAGCTGCTGTGCCCGCGATCCATTCTGCGGAAATAACACAGGATTCGCAAAGAATCGTGTAAGGGCATGATGAGTATAGCCAGGAAAGGGACATCACGTGACTTACCAGATCAACAATGGAGCTGGCCAGCAGGCGTTCCGCCATCATGCCTTCCACAAACGCACGGTACACGTCAACCAGCTCTAGCCGCGCCCTCGCTTCCAATCGATGTGCCTTGCGCTTGCCAGCCCACTCAAATGCCTCCACAAGGCACTCCCTTGCATTATTCAGGCACGAGTGAACAGTCATCCTGCAGCCATGCACACACCGGTAAAAATGCTCTGCAGTCTGGCCCCTGCCCTGGCCAGTTGCACTTCGGAGATTCTTCAGGTGGCCCCGCAGCTGGAAGAAGTTCAGAGTCATGAGCTGCTGGTGGGACTTTCCCAGGATTATGAGAGCCTCGCAGAGTGGGCGGGTATCTGGCTGGGGAACATGAAGCAGACGGCATTCCTCCTCCAACGCAGGCACTGCAGGAGAATCGGCGCCACTCACTCCGCCTCTCCCACCTCCCCAAGCCCAGCCTTCCAGCAGCATGTGCTTCCTCTGAAGTGCTGCTATGGACGCCTGGTAAGTCCGCCATGTGGGCGGATTCATGGAAGTAACACGGAGGCGTTCTGCTTCATGCATGAAGCCTGTCACTGACTGAGCCAGCTCTTGCAGATGAAAGGGTGGAGCATCCTCAGGGCACCTTGCCACAGCTCGGCTTAGCCTGGAGAGTCTCCTATGGGCCACCTCCTGGTCAGCAGAACAGGTGAGGACGAATTTGAGCTCTGATTGGTCCAGAAGAGCCTTGTTGACCATTCTGCCGTAGCGCAGGAGGCCTGTGATTGGCTGGCGACAATCAGGGCAGCCTTTGAGAGCAGAGAGATTGCCGTCTTCAAACGGCAGCACTGCCACCCACTTGGGACCTGACCCACTGCCAGCAGCACCACTCCCACTTGACCCACCTCCAGCACCACCACTCCCACCAGACCCACTTCCAGCAGCCGACCCACCTCCAGCACCACCACTCCCGCCAGACTTTCTCCCAGCAGCCGACCCACCAACAGAACCAATGATCTCAACACATCTGCCTCCAGCAGCACCAGAACCGGCAATGCCTGTGTCCTCTGCGACTCCTCCACCACTGCCACCAGGTGTTTCCGACTGCAGATACACTTCATCTAGCCCCAAGTGTCCATCCAGGGTCTCCACAGTGTAAGCATGCCCGCATGCCAGCACAAGAATGGGGTTCTCGTCCGGATCCACCTCCCCTAGCGTCTCCAGTGTCACAAGATCCACGATGGTCTCTCTCTTTGCCTTTGATCCGCACTTTGGAACCGTGCAGAAGTCCCTAGATGGGCATTTTTCCCCGCATAAGGACGGGCACTGGTGGCCGCATTTGAGCTTCTCCTCACACCGCTTGTCGCAGGGAAGACGGTCGCAGGGAGCTCCACAGGGGAGGGAGCAGCTCCCCTGGTGCTTGCAGTGCCAAACGCAAGGCTCAGTGCACGGGGCACAGGTTCGGTGGCAGGGCTGGGAGCAGTAGCTGTGCTGGCAGGCGACCAGGCACTTTCTACAGCATGGCTTGCAGTCCTTGCCGTTGTGACAGATGTCAGGACAAAGGTGGCTGCAGGGGTGGGGTCTCTTGCAAGGAAGGATGCACGCCTTGTGCTTCTTTTGTACTTCCATGTCTTTTCCCCGCTGCTGCTGCTGCTGCTGCTGCTGGGCAGTGGCCTGCTGTTCCTGCCCCTGCTGCTCCTTCTTGGCTTTGTCATCTGGGGCAATGATGCAGTCACCGCAGCGGTAGTTGCACTCGTGTCCACAGGAATCGGAGAGAACAACCCCACAGCGAGCAGTGCAGAGCTTAGGATTGCTCTGCTTGACAGCGGCCTCACTGCACTTAAAATTCTGCTTGTGCCCGCAGAGTGGCATTGTCACCTCCACCGTTGCCCTGCCATGACAAGGGTTGCATGTCAAAACAGGGGCATGAAAGAAGGGACAAGGGCTGAATGTCTGATTGTGCGCACATAGTGGCCTAGTGGCATAGGCACCTCTTGGCAGAATCACTAATGAGAGCAAGCGACACAACAAACTGAAAAAGTGAACTCACGAGCAGGAAATGGAACTTGGTTTCTGTGCCTCGAAGCAGTGAATGTTGACTGCCTTGTGCCCACATGGCAGGGTGACTGCCTTAACAGTCGCCTTGCAGTCACCGCAGTCTTCGCCACATTGCTTGGGACAAGGGTGCTGGAACGGGCATTGGTCCAGAGGCCGGATTCGGTTGCACTCCTTGGGGCAGAACGCATTGGCATGCGCCCTGTTGTCCCCATGGCACCTGGTGGGGTAAAAAATGGAGAAGCTTTTTGAGATAAGCAGATACGTGTGCAAGCACAGAACCACATAGGCATATGGGCATAAGCCACGAGCCTCGATCATGCATCATACGTCTCTTGAATATACATCAGCAGGGTAGCTACACGCCATCAGATAAGAACTAGCATCATGAAAAATACTATGCAAACGCTATATGGGAGATCATGTGAGAATCTAACCTGCGAGGACAGGTGTGTCCACACGGCGTGAGTCTGAAGCCACACATTTTGGAGCATCCGCCCTCGCTGGCCTTCTCGTTAAATTCACTTGCATGCTGAATGTGCGTGACGGTGTCAGTGTGGTTCACACACTGCAGTGGAATGAACCTCTGAATGGCGTTCCTGGTCTGTAAGATGTCCAGGATCTTTGGCCAAAGCAAAGAATTGGGGTCAGCCCTCATTGTGCTGGCGTTTCCTGCTCCGGATGAGATAAAATGGAGTGACGAAAAGGGAGAGCACAAATGAGGGATAGATTTCATGTTTATGGTTTCCGACAGTTTTAGGGGGGTTCACATGGTCAGAAGAGCAAAGAAGTTAAAGAGGTTCTAAGAGATGTGTGAACAAGAGAGTGCAAGAGACAAAATGCTGGAGTGCGTGATGCATGCCATCAGAAAAGTGCAGCATGGTCGTAACACCAGGCATGTATGTGTTCATCCAAGATCCGGTATTCACACGGCTATCACTTGGCAACGATGAATATTCATACACTCACCAATGAGGTACATGCCATGCTTGGCGCGGGAGAGAAGCACGTTAGTGCGGTTGGGGCTCTTGAGGAACCCAATCTTGCCGTCCAGGTTGTTGCGCACGAGAGACACGATCACCACCATGCTCTCCTCGCCCTGGAAACTGCACATATCCGCACAAATAGCAGCAATGAGGAAAACTAAAGTCTCTCTCTCAACTCTGTTTCGGCAAACCGGAATACAATGTTTCTGGTTCATTCATCTAGACATGAAATCATGGCAGGAAACTTTGATGAATAAGGGCAAGCGTCTCTTAGTCACTGCTGTCGCGCTTACTTGTCCACAGTCGCCAACCGCACTTCATCCTTCAAGTCCGCTGTGGTTGGCATGCGATAACTGCTCCCACCCGATCCTGGCCCCTTGCTCTGCTCCCAGGAGTTCCGTGAAGAATTTCCACTGCCCCTGCCATCACGTGCTTTAGATCCACCTTCCCCAGCTGCAGCCTTCTCCTCAGCCTCCTCCACCACCTCAGCATCGCTCTCCCCCAGTCGCACATTGACCACTTCAGACAGCGCCTGCCGTAGCTTCAGCAGCTGGCCCACGTACGGGGTGAGAATGGTTATGTCCCCTCCAAGAAAACCCTGCTGCAGCAGGTACTTTGCCAGCCCCACCACCATGCCCACCTCCTCCTCGTTTGTCTTAGACTTGGACTCGTTAAGATCATCACCGCCCCTCTCTGGACTGTCATGGTCCCAGAAGTGCAGGTTTGTTTCCATGCCACGCACGTTGGGGTAGCTCTGGACAGATGGATGGTCTGTGAGCTGTGGGTAGATGGTGCTTCGGATGAGGTCAGCGATTTCTGGGCGCATGCGGCGCTGGGTGGCGAGGGTGTGGACAGGAATCTGCTTGGAGAGGGCGAGGCGCTCGAAGAGGGAGACGTCGAGGTCGAAGCCCTTGTGGGAGTCCTTGCTGAGCTCGTACACCTCCACCTTGGGCCGCAGCTGCAGGTGGTCACCTGCCAGCATGGAGAGGAAATGGAACATCGGCTAGAATTGACATGGGGATGAGAAAATGGCCTGTCGATAGGGAGACACGCAATGCAACATAGGCTAGAGTTAACACAGGGATGAGAAAATGGTTGAGTGATGAATAAGACCCCTTGTTCAGCTCGTACACCTCCACCTTAGGGTGCAGCTGCAAGTGGTCGACTGTCATATTCCAATGTGGATTCAGAGGAGTGCGCAGGGTGTGAGTTTAGGCTAGGAAAGAGGCAGTCAAAATGGTATAAGTATGATAGCTTACAACTACCAGCACATGTACGCTCAATCAGAGTACACATGAATGATAGCCAGGGCAAGTGCGCTCGATGTACCTATGAGGATGACGTGCTGGGTCTGCGGGGTGAGCGAGGTGAGGATGTGGGCCTCGAGCACCTCGGCCGCCTCCTCCACAATGATGACTCGCGGGCCGAGAGCAGTGATGAGGCGCTGCATCTTCGCCACGCCTGACGTCGTCATCCCCACCACCTGCGCCTTCTTCAGAATCTGCAGATCTTCAATCTCCATAAGCTCCCTACTCTCTGCCACCTTCCTGCAGATTCACCCATCGGCGATGTAAGTTCCAGTGCCCATCCACTTTGAACGTTCACAATAATACTTCATGTGTGTCACTGAAGCAGCTGGTAGCAGAGCAGAATAAGGGAAAACGTACTTTGCATGATTTTCAACCTCCGCCTCGATAACAGCATTGGCAGTCACGTGAAGCTCCTCCACCCAGTGTCCCATAAGCTTCAGTCTCTCCTTCAAGCTCGTCGCCCATGGGTCGGCCACCTGCAGTAGCTCCGCTTCTGCTCGATCACTCGACTCATCCACTGAACAGTCACTTGGTGCAATAGGTGCGGTTGCTGCATGGCTGGATGCTGCACTCGCAGCTTCCCCTGCTCCCTTCACTCCAGCTTCCTGCAAAGCAATCTTTCTTAGACTCTCTTCCTTTGTCAGGCCCCGCTTCCATTCGTTCCAGTGATCTTGAACCACGTGCTGCCAAGTCAACAAAACATGTTGTCAGAAAGATATGAGGACCAGAAAGGAACAGCCAAATAGCTTTGACACCGCAAGCATCAGTCACCTCCGAATGCTTAAGGTCCTCAAACAGCATTGGTTGGCTCTCCACATTTCCACGAAGGGCCTCGAAGAACACTGGGTGGTTCGCCATCAGGTGGGGGGAAATGAAGCGCCATGGCATGCCCTGCACATCATCCCTTCTTAGCCGCAACGCCCCGCTGTAGGTCGAAATCCCTATTTCGACCTCCCTCATCCTCGTGTGGACCAAAAATCTCGACGCTTTGTAGGCTGCACAGAAAGAATCGAGAGACATGCACAGCTTTAAGGATGAATCATACAACTGTGGACGTTTCAAGCTACACGGAATTTCTGAATTGAGTAGCTTACTTTGGCTGTGGTAGGGGGATCGGTCTTGAATGATGTTGAAAAGGTTGTACTTCTGCAGGGACTCGGACCTACTTCTACCCCCGACTCGAACTACCTGCAAAGCCATGCCGAGTTTCAGCATGCCATCATTAGTTGTTGGCACATCACAGCCTAGAAAATAGAAAAAGAGCAATCCAGGACCATGACTGCCTTGGGTAAGAAAAGTAATCCAGGTAGACGTCAACAGGCTAAAACAGCATCACCACAATCATCTGGTAACGCTTTGTAACTTACATTGTTTATGCCACTTGCAATCAAGCCCTCCAGAAACTGGTCAAGTGCGTGATTGGTGAAGCACACGCAGAGAATAGGACCCTTTGGACAAGCCTCTGAGCTGCCATCCACAGAGTTCTTGAGGGCGTTGTTCAGCAGAAGCTCCACGAGCTTGATCCCAACAAACGTCTGCCATCAAGAACTGAAGCCATGGTTAGAAAAAATTGTTCGCTTAAACTGTATTGGATTTTGCAGTCATTTATTTGTACTCAAATGGGATTCTCAGATTACCCACCTTGCCAGTTCCCGGTGGTCCCTGCAGCAGGGCGAAGTCCTGAGTCAAGGCAGCCTGAAGAGCGACAGCTTGAGGTCGGTCCAGCGATGTGCAGCGCAGGAGAGCATCGATTGGAAACACAGCAGGCTTGGAAATCAGCACGTTCTTCATGGAATGCGAGTCCTCTGCAGTAACTTCTGGCTGAGAAGGTGAGGCCTTGGTCTGAAGCAGCAGGCTCAGGTCATAACTGCAGGAGGAAAGAGTTAAGTCAGCTACAATGCGATGGCTTGGATATAAATCGTCATAAGCGCCAATCCTCTCTAACCCCAACTCCGTGCTATGCTGTGATTCTGTTCATCCACTTACAGCATGTCTTCATCGACATATGCTGGAAGCTTGGTCCCCAGGCTGGTAGCAGCACCACTAGATGCACCACAGATGTATTCAGAAAATGGAAATGATGCTTCAGTGATGTTCTGGAGGGCCTTCAGAATTGGCTCATAGGCAAAGAAGCTCCCATGGGCTTCCAGCATGAAGACTTGCTTGTTTGCAGAGCCATCATGGGAGATCAGCTCCAACAAATCTGCACTGAATCTGTTCCCTTGACAAGGCTGGACTCCGATCTGAGGCCTTTGATTGGCTAACCTCCGTGTCTCTCGGGCTGTGATGGTGCCGAAGACAAGGTTGTGGGGTGCAGGATCTCCCCTGTGACCTTGACTGATGTCCTGAATCCACAGGCAGACCAGGGAGCCGTTCTGCAGCCTCTTGGTACGCTCCCAAAACTCCATCCTGAAATAACAGAGACGGAATATTACTGCACAGTTGCAAATCACTGTTATACCATTACAAAGTTAATCCCTGATGACATGAACTCACGGCGGCATTTCCACATACCTGGTACAAGGCCGGCCGCCTTGCGAGATTGGTGGCTCCATGAAGTCGATAAGAAAATACACACCACTCCTCTTATCAGCGTTGATCGATAGCACTCGGACATCCTGGAGCAAGTACACGTCCATGTCGTCTGAAGAAAACCCCACAATTCCTTTCATGTTCGCAGCAAAATCCTTCACCAAGGTTCTGTCTGCCCTCACGAGCCCTGTCATGGCCCCTTCCCTGTGGGTGTTGGTGCAGCTGCTGCTTTTGCGAAGAACAGGTCCGTGCTTCAACCTTTCCAATAGGAAAAAAGCCTTGTTCCAGAGTGGAGCAACCAGGTCGTGCCTTAAAAGCCGGAACTGAATGTCCACATGACGGCCAACAGAGCCATGAGGCAGATGATGAGGCTCGTTGGCGTTGTTGCGGGGAAGGTATGGGGAGACCTTACAGAGGACCTCTTCCATCGTTGGAGCCACAGAAATCTGCAGTGGAGATGTAAACGATGTCAGGAAATGGAAGCCGTACCAATATGCAGAAGAAAAAAATCCTTGTAACCCCTGAGCGTACATGGCACAAGAAAAGCTTACTGCTGAAATGTCAACATGGTCATTATCATGCCTTGGGTGGCCATCCAAGCTGAGCTCACCCGGACCATCCACACCTTGTGTGATGGATAGCTGCCGACCTGCAACAGCATAAGAAGATGTTCTTACAATGGACCTCGGATAAGACAGCCGAAAACAACAAAAAATGTCGCTCCACGACAAACCTGATGGATAGAAGACTTCAAATGGCGTCTGACCACTTTCCCTGCTCTGTCTATGCCTTTCACGGTGACTGCGCCTATCTAGAGACTTCCTCAGTCTGGAAATAGTGGAGCAGAGGCTATGGTACTTTCCATCGAACACTGGCTTCTCAGCCTGCCATTTCCCAAGCATGGATTCAAGCTCCTGCATGTCAGTGCTAGCTTGTGTAGCGTCAAACAAGGAGTAGAAACGATCCATCGTCAGGTTAAAGAAGCTGATGACGATTTGAAACGCTGTGTCCCAGTCCTTGACGCCGACGTCATTTTTCTCCGAGTCACCGATTGTTCCCCGTTGAGTCAGGAGCCTCATGCAGCTGACAAGGTACTCCTGAAACCCCTCCACCTCGACGATGGCTGCGAGAGTTGTGTTGACCTTGCTCGATGCAGGGTTGTTGCAAAACTCCGGCTGGAAACGCATCGAAACAGAATCGAGGCGAATTTTCTTAGGACCTAACGACGATAAGAATGAATATGACTCGCACAATCACGAGCTGGTACCTGGCAGATGACTCGTAGCATCGGCAGCAGAACACTCTGGAAGGAAACCTTCTTGGGATGAGTTCCAACTGACACTGATTCTGAAGGACCGCATGCAACAGCTTCCTGACAGATGCTAATAAGCTTCTTCCTGCCGTAATACTTGTCATTTGCGAGGACAATGACCAGATCTGCGAGAACGAACGTTTGTTAGAACTTGGTGCTTCCTGCTATCAATCAGAGCACTCGGCTAATATGAACATACTTCAGGTACTACCTGAAGCTTCGTGAGCTGCCATTGCGAGGACGAACCTTCGCATCTGAAACTGATTAGAAAGTTCCCTGTCGTTTGGCAGGAATGTCCACAGGTTCAGGACACTCCTCTCCTGTGCGTCTAGCTTTTCCTTCCCTTCTCCTCCGCCACGTCTACTTCCTTCGTTCCCATTTCCATCACGCTTGCGACGTCTATCACGCCTTCTCTTGGTGTTCTCGTTCAACTGATTATCATGATCCGACGAGCATCCTGTCTTTCTTCCATGTTCGTCCGAATCTCGGCCACGTTTCTTGCCGCCTCCAGACCCGCCAGACTGGGAATCCATGGCTAACCACCAGCGCCAGTCGACTGGACTCGAAAAGCTTGAGACAAGAATGCGAAATCCCTCTAATAGCCATTGTAGCGAAACAGTAGCAGCAACGAGCCGCACAGGACAGCAGTAGTGATGGATGGCAGGTCAGGGGAAGTGATGGATGATGTCACTGTCAGGTGCATCTGTCATGGACCTCGCCAAATGTTACCAAACGTTGGAGAGCGCTTGCTCCTAGCTATCTTCGTTTACGCCTTGTTCACGTCTAGCTCTCGTCTTGCTTGCATCACTGGCTCACATCTTGCCGCCTGACCCATGCATCCTGATTACCATGCAAGGCCGAGTCACTTCTCGCGAGGCTCACGAACAGTCGCCTGACCCGGAAACCAGGGGCTTTCTGCTTTCGCCGATGTTTGTGGTCGCGAACGATGACACTCATTGTCAAGGTGCTCTGGTCTTGGAATTGCCAATTGCGTGTACAAGTTCTATCGGCTACACTTTCTCTAAACGTACTTCATGAAGGCCCTCCACAAGTACATAAAGTACCATTAGTAACCCTCCATGCATTTTCTTCCTGAAATTAATATATTCAGGAATTACTACAAAATTCGCATGATGATTGTATAAAGGGGTTTTGTATTAAGCAATATTACTACTACCATTACCTTGATGAAATATTATTGAACCCATACCAAGGCTAACGTTATCAGACTATTTAGTTTGAAATTTCAGACCCTAATGTTGGCAAAACCTGAATGATCAGATCACCCATTTTCCCATTATCAGATTATCAGATCACTTCAGAGTACGAATTTAGGGATCATGAAAAATTCAGACTTGTTGCTAACCCAGTACTGAGTTTCCAGAACACAGCGCGTACAGACCCTGAACCAGATGTACCTTCTACCAACCTGCAACCCATAAAATTTCGGCGAATTCCCCAAACGCTATAAGCATTCCCCCCCCCACACCCCTGTTAAAATTATATTTTATATAATTGTAGACTTGGTAGTTATGCTACTAACTACATGTTAAAATTATAACTTATATAATTTTAACACACCCCCTAGGCTTGGTAGTGTCAAGCCCACGCACACCCCCACACCCACACCCACACCCACACCCACACCCCCTAGCCCAGCACCCCCATTCCCAGCAGGAGCCGCAACGACTCCGGAAGAGGGTAGGTCTCACGGCCCCTTGAGACGGCAATGGCGGCAGCAGCGACAGTGACGACGGCGGCGGCGGCGGCGGTGTGCGGCGGCTCCAGGCCTGCGGCAACAGCGGCGGCGCCGGCGGCTCGAACGACAGAGGCTGGTGCGGCGGCCCCCGCCCTCTCGGCGGCATGTCCTGTCTCCTCGGCGGTGGAGAGGTCCCTCACATGGCAGTCATCGGCTGCAGCAAGAAAGGGGGGGATGCAGGGGAAGCAGGTGCAGGTGGGGGGGGGAGGGGAGGGGGCGGGGCGAGGCGAGTCTTCAGCGACGCGCCATAAGTGGCGCGGCGCTTACTGGCAGGAGGGCGGGCAGGTGGCGGTTACGACGGCGTGCTGCCCGCTGCCGCCCATCCACGCTGCCGCGGCAGCATGACGACGCCGCCAGGGCGCGGCGTCGACGCTGTGGCGGCACGCCGACGCTGCAACGGCAGCAAGAACATATTTATACATATTATCTATGTACTCACTAGAAGCATACCTCAGTCTAGCCTATAACTTCTACATAGATAATATGTATAAGTTGACACACCCCCTAGGCTAGACAAGGGGTGAAACTAAACAAGAAGCAAACAGCTCAGGGCGGCACTACTAGTCCAACCACTGAGGCAGGGGTCTGGAGACCAGTCAGCAAGAATACAACCAAAACTGAAGCAAGCCAGGGTGGCACTACTAGTCCAGCCACTGGAGGTAAGGCCACAAGGCCAGTCTGACAAGCATATATAATAGAGAGTACACAATCAGGATCCTAACAGGGGAGCAGCTACAGGAACAAGACCAAGCTGTACACAGTGCCGCTGATGATCTTTAGGCGCAAGCGCCTTAGTAAAGATATCAGCTGTGTTGGCACCTGAGGCCAAGTGAACTACGCGGGCCTGGCGGCGCTGCTGTAGCTCGCGCAGGAGGAAGTACCGCAGCTGGATATGCTTCGCTCTGCCCTCAAGCCGAGGCTCCTGACACAGGAGTATCATGGCCCTGTTGTCAGCGTACAGGACCGGGGCAGAGCTAGGCCGCTCACCTAAGTCTATGAGCAAGAAGGTCAGCCAGCGGAGCTCCTGTGCCGCCATGGCACCAGCGTAGATCTCAGCCTCACAGCTAGACTGAGCCACAGACGACGAGCGAGTGGATCTCCAAGAGATAGCACCCGAACCAAGGCTGAAACAGTAGCCCTGCGACGACCTGAGCGTCTCAGCGTCGTCTGCCCAAGAAGCGTCTGTGTGCCCAGTAAGGACCACTGGCCTGCGTCCTCCTAGCACTAACCCCATGCCTGATGTACTAGCAAGATAACGCAAAACCCTCTTAGCGGCAGACCAGTGCTGAGGTCGGTGTCTGCCTGTAGCCACAAAGCAAGCCAGGATGCTGAGAGGGTATGCGAGATCTGGGCGAGTGCAAGTCATCAGGTACATGAGGCAACCCACCAGCTCTGCGTAGGGGCCACTGGGCTCTACTGACTCCTCAGGAACAGGAGCAGAGAGCCCATGGTCTACGGGTAGAGGTGTGGGCTGTGCAGAGGAGAACTGAAGACCGAACCTCTGAAGGACCTGACGCACCAAGTGTGACTGGGTCAGAGTGATGGTGCGTGCTGCTCTGTCCCTAGAGATCTGCAGGCCAAGATAGCGACGCAGCTCTCCAAGGTCAGTGCAGGTGTGTCTCTTCAGCAGCTCAGCCTTCACAGAGGCCAGTGCGTCCCTGTCAGGAGTAGCGAAGACCAGGTCGTCTACGTAGACAAGGATGTAGAACGGAGTCTGGCCGGAACGCACAAACAGTGAAGGGTCAGCAGAGGACGGAAAGAACTGCAGGTCTGCTAACGTGGCACGTAGCGTGTCGTGCCACTCGCGGGGAGCCTGACGCAGGCCGTAGACCGGGCGCCTGAGAAGCCACTGGGTCCCAGGAGGGAAGGTACCAGTGAAGCCCTGTGGTCGGCGCAGGTAGACCTGCTCGTGTAGGCTGCCCTGAAGAAAGGCAGTAGAGAAGTCGAGGGAGTGAAGCTCGTAGTCACGCTGTGCTGCTACGTGTAGCAGCGCCCGAAGAGTGGTCATCTTCGGGGTCGGGGCGAAGGTCTGGAAGAAGTCCACCCCCTCGCGCTGACTGAAACCTCTGGCCACGTAGCGCGCCTTGAAGACAGGCGGCTCTCCAGGGGGGCGCTTCACCTTGAAGAGCCACCGACCATCGACTACGTTCACCCCAGGCGGGGGAACTGCGTCGACGTAAGTGCCGGTGGATCTCCAAGATGCCATCTCCTGCTCCATGGCAGCTATCCACTGAGAGGCCCAAGGTCCCGAGGTGGCCTCAGCGTAGGTGCGAGGGGTCGGGATGTCGAAGGCGTCTGGGTCACCCTCAGGGACTAACAGCATGGAGCAGAGATGGGGAGCAGCCTCGGAAAGGAAAGCCAGCTCGTACTGCCTGTCCTCTAGGACGTCACTGCCAAGGGCAGGAGCACCCCCGACGGACGGAGGACGGGCAGGGTCAGAGACCAGAGCGGTAGCGTAGTCAAGGCGGCGGGTAGAAGCGAAGTCAGCGACAGCAGCGACAAGCGCGTCAAGGCGCGAGACAGGAACAGTAGGGTCGGTAACAAGAGAGGCAAGGACCCGAGGGACAAGGGGACGAGCAGAACGGAGGTAGTCAGAGAACGGAGGAGGTGCAACAGCAAGGGACGAGGGAGGAGGGGACGGGAGGAGGGGAGGACGAGACGAGTGGGAACGGAGCAACATAGGGTGGGTGGGCAGGACAGGAGAGACGGGACGAGCACGGGAGGGACGGCGAGCCCAAACGTGAGACGGAGGGGTAGGGTCAGGGGACAGCGGAGGAGACACAGGAGGGGAACGAGGAGGAAGACGGGCCGGAGACGAGTCTGGCGGCGGGAACACAGGACCGTAGACAGGAAGGTCAGGAGGCGGTGGGGGAGACACCGGCGCGCGGTCCGGGGAGGGAAGGCCGAGCAGGCGGAGAGCGGAAACCGGCGGCGACGGCTGCAGCGGCTGCTGCGGCGGCAACGACGGCTGGGCCGGAACTCTCGGACCAGCAGAGGCAGAACGACCGTCGGCAGAACACTCAACAGCAGCACCCCCAGAACCAACACCCCCAGAGCGAGAACCCCCTCCAACACCAGCGGCACCCCCAGAAGCCGCAGGACGAACACCCTCCTCCACACCAGCACCCCCAGGGGCCGAGAGCAGCGGCGGCAGTGGCGGCAACGGCTGCGGCGGCGGCGACAGCGGCGACGGCTGCGGCAGCGAGAGCGGCGGCGGCGGCGACGGCTGCGGCGGCGACGGCGACGGTGGCGGCAGCGGGGTCGGCGACTGCGACAGTGGGGGCGGAGGCACCGGGGAAGGGGGACGCGGCAAGGACGGACCGGGGGTACCACCAGAGTCAGCAGACTCCTCAACGGGGACAACTGACGGGAGGGGAGTGACGTGGGAGACACCAGACGGGGCAGGACGAGGCGGGAGAGGGGCAGGGGCTACCGGGGGAGAGGGAGCAAGGAAAAGGGGGGGGGCAACTGGGAGACCTCGGTGAGGGAAGCGGCGGTAGAAGGAGACGGACTCGTCAAAGGTGACGTCACGAGAGTGGAGGAAGCGGTGAGACGGCGGGTGGTAGAAAAGCCAGTCAGACGAGTCCAGGGGGAAACCGAGGAAGACACAGGGGACAGTGCGGGCAGTGAGCTTGTCCGTGCCAGAGGCACGAACGTGAGCAAGGCAGCCCCAGACGTGGAACGCAGACGCGTCACCAGGGGACCCGGTCCAAAGGAGGGTCGGCGAAACCTGCGGCCGCTGGGAGCGTGGCCACAGGTTAAGCTGGTGAGCCGCGTAGCGAACAGCGAACGGCCACAGAAAATGGGGGGCATCGGCATGGATCATGGAGGTACGGGCGACCTCCATGACCAAGCCGATGCGGCGCTCAGCAACCCCATTCTGCTGTGGCGAGTCCGGCAACGTGTACGACTGGGTGATGCCCTCCGCACGACAGAACTGTCCAAGCCGACCAGAGGCGAACTCGCCGCCACGG